AACTACAGGACAAATTTAGATGTTTTTCATGAACATGCTGCAACATCCATGTGTTTGATTAACCCTTGTGCATTATAAAACTCTTTTCTGCAAAACTCAATTTGGCAGTAATACTCCATGCCTAAATTTGAAATCTTAATCTCCTTGATAAACCGATGCCGCATGTATCAATAAAAACCAGATGCAGCTATAAATCTTTTAATAATACATTTAATTTTTATTTTTTATTTGCCTAAGTTGCTAATTTATAAGTTTTTTGATTTAAATAAAAAGCATAAAATATTATTTATAAACTATAAAATACTTTTATTTATTCTTAGCTTTTTCCATATTTAGGTAATGCTGTCACATTAAAATAATAATTTTATTGTTTGCGAGCCGCATTCTAGTGACATCTAGCGCAAATGTAAGAAAACTTGTCAAGGGTATAACTTTCTACCATTTTTAACCACTTAAACTTATGAAACGATTTTCTACCCTAAAAATATTAATTTCTACCTTCGGGTAGAATAATATTCTTTAATTACAGTTTTTTTTTAGTGTGTATGTAGCATAACATAGGCAAGTCCGTATTGTAATAAATTTCTTTAAAATGCCGCAATGCATCTTTACTTTGAACATTTGTTGTGTTTTTCTAAATTGATACGATAACAATTTTAAAGACTTTATGATGAACACTATGATATGCATTAGTAATAAAAAATTATTCAGATTTATTTAAAAATAAACTTCACAGGTATGAAAAAAAAATTGTTTTTTCATGTACTTCCTAATTAACTCCACCTGACCCATTAGAAGCTTGACTTAACACATCCTTTACTTTGATTTCCATCTGCTTGCACTTTTGATAATTTTCTTTGCAAATTTGACGATTGAATTTTTAATTTGCGTGTAATTAAAAAAATTTTTAAACCATATTTTTATAATTGTTAATAAAAGTACTCAAAATGTTAACCACATAACCAGTTACCACAAAAAGGAATATGGTACATGATTGTTTTTAAGTTCCTATGTCATACTTTTTAAAATGTATATAATAATATAATAACAACTAATAATTCTTATTTAAGGCTGCATTTTCTACATGTTGCTGCCATTCACTTTTGTCTGCGAATCTGACAATTCATTGTAACTATTGTATAACAAAAAAAAACTTTCAAAACAATTAAAATCCCAGCAAACATGTAAACGTTAAACCAAGGTTAAAAACCAGTCGCAGCGAAGAAAAAGCGTTACAGTCACAAAAACAACGTGCGTTCAACGTCGAATCAACGTCTGTTTTTGTATAATAAATCGCGATAAATTGAAACGTTAAATAAGCGTTGAAATTGAAACGTTAAATAAGCGTTGAAATTGAAACGTAATTTATCCTCTCAAAATAAAACGTTTATTCAACGTGGAATCAACTTACGCAAAAAACCACTTTAAAAACGTTTCAAAATATATTCTTTATCAACGTTAAAAACAAACCGCTTTTTAACCGTTACATTTTCAACGTTGAATAAGCGTAAAAATTTAAACGTATCTTATATTCTCAAAAAAATGCGTTTATTAAACGTTGAAATAAGTACGCAAATAATCACTGTAAAAACATCGCAAAGGTAATGGTTTATCAACGTTAGACATTAGCTTTTTTTTCAACGATTGAAAAACAACACTTACTCAACGTTATTTCAACGTTTGTTGAAAATGTGGTAACTAAAAAACGTTGAAAAAGTGTTACTTTGCCAACGTTAATAAAACGTCGTTTTGACAATGTTGAGGAAGTGGCACATTGAAAATTATTGTCTCAATAACTAGCCATTACAAAAATTATTTGCCGTATTGGAAAGGCAAGGAAAACTGATAGAATGCATGCATATGGTATGAATTTTTTAAAATAAAGTTATATTTTATAGCCTCCCAGCAGGCACAATGACGTTGAAATAACGTTGAAACAACGTCGCAAACTGACCATATGCCACATTGAAACAACGTTGAAATTTAGTTGAATTGGAAATAAAATCCGACGTCGAAAACTACGACGTTGAAACAACGTCGATAGTTGCGTCGTTTCAACGTTGATCTAACGTCTTATCGACTACACATCAACCATATTTCAACTTTAAATAGGTGATACATTCGATTGATATGTAAATGATAAGACGTTAGAACAACTTTGAAACGACGTAAATTTAACGTTGATTTTTGTTTTTTATTTTGGTTAAATCAAATTAACTAAAAAATTATCTCAACTTTAAATGCAATAAATTAACACAATAAAAAAGCAACAAGTTGCGCGAAGAATATTATATTTCACGTAAATTAATCAGATACAACTAAATTGCATCAACGAACTTTATATACAATGCAAAATGTATAGTAAAATGTTTGAAAAAAAAAAGTTTTATATATCAGTAATATATTTATCAATTTATCAATAATAGCTATTATCAATAGTTCCAGAACAACTAGGAAAAAGTATGAATGTTATACATCGGGTAAATCACCTTTTACGCGCCGACCACCACCATTTGATCTGTCGAGTGCGTATTTTGATAAAGTCATAATTCTTTTTTTTTTCGGCAACAGTAGCAGTCACTTTAATTGACAAAACTCTCTCTATAAAAAAAGGTAAGAACCTTGAATTTTAAAAAATTTATAACTTTACACTTAACTTACAAGTTAATACCTAATGTTTGTTTCTTTAAACTTCTCTTTACCTTTACCGCCAGCTATATTAAATTTTGTATATAAACCATTGGTCAACAACCTGCATTATACCTTGTTATTAATATTATAGTTACATTAAAAATTGATAAACATGTCTTTTAAAAAATAGAAATTATTCTCAATGAAAAATTGCATAAACCGCAAAGGTTTCTTACCAAACCGTAATGCACGTAAGAAAAAGAATTGATACAGGGGAAGAGTTTGGTCCAAGGAGACCACCTTCTAAACGCAAGAAAACACCAAGAGCGGACAGTATAATCAGAAATATCTGCCTGGAAAACAGAAAAAAAGCCACTAAGCTTATCCATGAAGCTGTAACTGTTGTGTCAGACCAGACCATTTGTAGAAGGCTAAAAGAAGAGGAATTGATGTCAAGCCAAAAAAGTCAAAAATTGATTAAAAATTTGAAAATATTAAAAATAATGTCAAAAATCTTATATTTATGCAAGATGGTGCAACTTGCCACACAATAAAAACTGTTATGGCTTATAATTATAATAATTATAAGCCATAACATTATTTTTCCAAAAAACACTCTCCAAATCACCAACCTCGTTTGGGACGAGGTTGGTGATTTGGAGAGTGTTTTTTGGAAAAATTATTGGACACAAAAAAGTTCCGATTTCGCCATCCCCGTAACAGTTAAACGAAAGTGTATTGAGTTGTTCCAATTGAACTGTAGAGCTATCGAAGAAATCGAAATGGTTAAAAGCGAAATGAAAAACGTAATAAATTTTAACCAAACTAAAATAAATGAATTTAAGGAAGCTCTCACATTACTTGAAGATAATACTGAAGATAATGGGTGGAAAGCAAGATTACTGAATGAAATAGATGCTTTAACTTTTAAAACAAATTGTTTTTCTGAGGCTTTTTGTCCTTATCTTAATTCGGATACTTCAAGTGAAATAAAGACTCTGTTGTTAAACGACTTTGAAGATGAATTAAGTAGTGAATCGGATGATAGTGATTTAGAATTTGAATAAATGTTTACCATTATAATAAAACATACTTTATTTATTTTATATTATGTCGGATGAATGCATAACACCGCGGGAGCCAAGCGGTGATGACCTGCACAGTTTTATAGCAATAAATTACTTTTTTTTTTTTTGTTTAAATCTATTTCTGTATTAATAACAACATTTTCATTTTATTAATTATCACCCTGCAAATTAATATGTTCCGGGATCCCTGCAATACTGCTTTTTTATTAGTTAATCGTTTCTTTTTCAATTTTTTTTAAAAAAAAAAAAAAACATTCTAGGACTTTCCAAGACAGTAGTACAATTCCAAGAATGAGGGAACACTGTATAGTTTAATTGTATACCAATTTTTTTTTTTATTTGATTTTTTTTTCGATGTTGAAAATACCTAAGTCTAATCTTAAGCTAACGTGTCGGTTTGACACGTTAAGATCAACGTGTTAAACCGACGCGACGAAAATGTTTGACACATCATTTTAGATTTAAATGACTCAGTTCGCACAGATCCAAGATGGTGCAAAATGACCAAAGGTAGATGTCTTATATCATTACTCACTTGGTCGACTACAAACACAAAAACGTTTAACCAAGTAAAAAACCGTTTCAATTGTATGTTTCAATTGGAAGAAAAAAGGTCTCTCTCGGACCAATAGCAAAATAAATTTTAACTTCAAGGCATCTAATTTACCGAATATTTAAAAGTGATTTGTCAGGCATACAAAAAAAGAATAACTACTTATAGATTACGTTAGCAAATTGGGTGAGAAACAATTTTTGAACACAAAAATAATCATTATGAACTTTGTTTGATTGTGTTTGGAAATTTAATACAAAACAATTTCTTAAAAAAAATTATTACAAATTTTGCTTGACGCATTGCTTCGCATGTCTATGAATAATGGAAACTTGCATCAACAACTTTTTTGCATCAACAAAATAGTTTTAAAAAGAAAAGAAAACCCAAAAGGACGAATTAGATCGATATCAAAATAAATTGTTTGGGCTAAAACAATGTACGCGGTAAATTTATTAAATAACTCATTTTAAAGCCAAATATAATATTGTGTAATAATAAACATTTTTCATTGACGTTCATTTAAGAGAAACAACGCAAAACTTTAATTCAATTTTAAAATGTTGCCGAGGTAAATAGTAATTTTGTGAGTCCCTCAGAATTTGTTTGCCGAGGCCTTAAAATATGAATCTTTTTAGAAGAAACGATTAACTAATAAAAAAGCAGTATTGCAGGGATCCCGGAACATATTAATTTGCAGGGTGATAATTAATAAAATGAAAATGTTGTTATTAATACAGAAATAGATTTAAACAAAAAAAAAAATTAATTTATTGCTATAAAACTGTGCAGGTCATCACCGCTTGGCTCCCGCGGTGTTATGCATTCATCCGACATAATATAAAATAAATAAAGTATGTTTTATTATAATGGTAAACATTTATTCAAATTCTAAATCACTATCATCCGATTCACTACTTAATTCATCTTCAAAGTCGTTTAACAACAGAGTCTTTATTTCACTTGAAGTATCCGAATTAAGATAAGGACAAAAAGCCTCAGAAAAACAATTTGTTTTAAAAGTTAAAGCATCTATTTCATTCAGTAATCTTGCTTTCCACCCATTATCTTCAGTATTATCTTCAAGTAATGTGAGAGCTTAAATTCATTTATTTTAGCTTGGTTAAAATTTATTACGTTTTTCATTTCGCTTTTAACCATTTCGATTTCTTCGATAGCTCTACAGTTCAATTGGAACAACTCAATACACTTTCGTTTAACTGTTACGGGGATGGCGAAATCGGAACTTTTTTGTGTCCAATAATTTTTCCAAAAAACACTCTCCAAATCACCAACCTCGTCCCAAACAACTACATTTTTTAAAAACTTGCTGGGATAAATTAAAACTATAGAATTATACTCCTTGATCAGATCTTGCAAACTCTTATTATTTTTGTTCAGCTGCTTAGTAAGCTTTATAGCAATTTTCTGGCCGTCTAAACAAAGAAAATCATAAATAAATGTTTTCAATTTGAAAATTATAGGCTTTCATTAAACATTTCAAGTAATTTTAAATTAACTTTTTACCTGCGTATTTTTTTTTCAAATTACCAAGAAATAACTTTTGAAATGCAAAAGATTGCATTTTTAGCATAATATTATTCTTTTTTCTTTCAAAGACAGTTGCTAAGGTGTCCTTAAAAAAAGCATTGATTGGATCCCACCGAACATTTATTTTTAATTTCTTCTCTTTAATACTGAGTTCTCTTTCAAGCCTGATATAACACACAAATGTTGTTTAAAAAAGATAAATATAACCATTGCTTCAGAATATTGTTTTTGAAAAAGTATTACCGTTCTAGTTCTATGTTTATATCTGGATTGCTTGTCGTAGTTTCAATATCTTTTCTAATAAATAAAAAATAAAAAAATACCAAATGCAGTTATGTAATTTTTCTTCTTTTAATCTAATATTAATTATATATAACAATATCAATTAAACAAATAAATAGATAAACAGGTTAAATATTAAAAAAGAATATTCATGTTTCATTAAGCTATACTATCATTATACAATACCTGTAGATAGTAATCTCTAGTACACATCACGTTTAAAACTAGTTTTCCCATTATTTTCGTCTTAATTTTGCTTAAAGCTTATTAAAAAAAATTTTGCTTAAAGTTGTTTCTCAATTTTTTGGAAATTTTTCTTAATTTTCTTATGAGTGACGAATAAAAAAGCTTAAAAATCAAATTAAATACACAAATATATACTTAAACTTGTATGCAACATTTTGGATGTCCGGAAAACCTAAAAGTTCAGAAATATATCCGGAGTTCCGGGAATATCCAAAAAAAGGTAATCCCTGATTTATAAAAGTTTTACAAATCAAGTTGTTAAAAGTTGTATCTATGCTCTTATTTTAAACTTTTACTTTTAAAAAAATCCTTTAAGTCTTGAGACTATTAACTAAAAAATACTTCTGCTCTATCAAACAATTTACCTTAACTTCCACCAATCATTCAAAATTAAAACATAGCATTCAAGATCGCTTTCTGCAAATAATACAAGTATTTATTAAAATTTATAAAAATTAGAGTATAATTTTAGTTTTGATTAAATCTAACATTATTAAATTAAAAATTCATAGTAAAATACATTTAAACCTTTATCATTTTTTTGATTTCCACAGTCTTCCATATCAATTTCTGTTGCAATCCAAGATTGAATAACCTCTCTTTGTAGAACTAAAGAATATTTCAAAAATATTAAACATCCTCCAAGGTATATCAATTAAGTACCCTCCAGGGTATATAAAAAATATACAACTTCAAGTTTCAGCAGAAACCTTTTTCATTTTTAATTATTTGAAGCATGCAAAAATAATTTATTTTTATTAATGAAATAATTTTATTTTATTAATAATGAATGCAAAATTAGTACATAAATTTATATCTATAGAGAATTAAGGGACATTATAACATTATTATGACTTTACAGCATTATGAAATCAGGGACCGAGTGACACTGTTGTTTATATAATAGATTATTAATAATTTATTTAAAACATCAAAGTTATACAAACCGCCAATAGACTTAAGTGTTTTTTCAAGTTCAATATCAGTAGTATCTTTAATTTGTACAGCTTTGTCGATTCGAGCACATAGTCTTCTACCTAAAAATATAATACAAATATACATATGTTGAAAATGAAAGCAATATGTTATAGCAATATTTAGTTTTAAAATTACTTAATGAATTAATCGAATATTGTGCATAATGAAGTAAACCCAGTGTAAGAGTATCAGCTCTATGACTTGGTGTTTGCTCTTTAGTGATTTTTGAAAATCTTCTAAGGGCAGACCAAAGACGCTCCATAACTTCACCATCTGAAATACCTATACCAACAGTTGATTTAGGGGAATATTTTAACTAAAAAAAAAGAAACAACTAGAATGCACCTTTGAGTATGCAAATTTACCAAAACACCTAATGTATTTTCTATTAGTTATTAATTAACAATTTGAAACAAATGTTTTCAATATCAAAGAAAAAAATAGATCTGAAAAATGTTTGTAAGAAATTAAGTAATTTGTTATCAGTATTTTAAAAAATACCTGGCAAGCTGATCTATGACCATATACATGAAAAGAAGGAATACAAAAGGAGACATTCTTATCAAGGATATTACTTCCTCGTTTCTAGAATAAACAACACTGTAACATAAAATTTATATAATTATACTTTCATAATAGCAAATCTTTATTAACTTAGGATATGAATGATTTTATAAAAAATTACAAATCATACTATAAATCCTTACTTTAAGATGTTTAACAAGCATGCATGCAATATCATACATTACCACAACATTAACCTCCTTTTTAACTTGATCAAGTATTTGGTTTATTAAATAAACCGCATTAGCCAAACTAAAAATTAAAAAATTATAATAAACAAATTATTTTTCTATACTTTTCTAATAAAAATATAGAAAGCAAGAACCTTTCACCAGATTTGAGATTAAAAAATTGTCTAGGTACTTCATGTCTGCAAGAACATCCAAAAACACCTGTTTCGTCAAGTTTTGCATTTGATTTTTTAGATCGTAATGAGTTTATTGCCTTGAAATCATTACACGTCTAAATTTTAAAAAGTAAAAAAAAATAATTCAAAATCTAATAAAAATTGCCAATTGTTTAAAATATTTAGTAGATTCAATTTATATATTTACATTCTATTTTACTTGTCATCATTAAGCAACCGGTGCTCATTATTTTAGTATTATAGTAAATAAAACAAAAGTCAAAAAAACATATTTTGAATATCAAAAACCTTTAATTCTTCTACTGAGAGTTTACAGTTGTAGTTACTAACAAATTGATCAACAATAGATTGATCCAACAGGTAAAGATTTTTAAGTACTGGCTCGTAATGACTTTTCCCTGATGAAAACTTTCTCACCAATCCAAACAATGCATCAAAGGATAAAACTAATGTACCAGACTCCTATAATATAATATATAATTACTCAATATTTTATAGCTTATTTTATTCTTTAGAATGGCAGCTTTCATACAAAATTGCTAAAAATTTAATTTACAGTTTAAAGAGGCAATTGTTTCATAGGTTATATAAGTTTTTGAAAATATATTGCATTATATAGAAAATTCACAATATTAATGATTTTCTTACTTTAGGACATGCAGGACATATAGATAGATTGTGAAAATTTTGAAATCTTGGCTTGAAGGTTTTTAAATCATTTTTAAACAAAAGATAGCTCAGAAAACATTCACCAGTTACCATTTTATATATCGCGTCAATCTACATAAAAAACAACCTTTAAAACATTTTTTTTTATATACTTTTTCGGATACATGCTATCTAATATGATGTTATACCTTGATATAATCATCTCCTTTTGATTTAGTATATAATGCTTTACAGAATGATTTCACAGAAACATATCCATCTAGGAACAAGGCTTCCATCAAATCCATCAACTCATAGCTAAATGCTGCAGATGGATTTACAGGAGAACTAGGCCAGAAACTTTTCTCCAGCAAAATATCCACAATATTAGATGAACATAAACATTCAGCGACCAATGACTGATGTTGTCTACCTATTGCAATTTTTTTAAATAATAAAATTAATCCCAAATTTTTTTTCAGGAAACCAAAAATATATTTTCTTTTTATAATAAAAAAAACCCTTGCGGGTTCTCGCTAAATCATGTATGTATGTATGTATGTTTTTTAATGTATATAAATATATATATATATATATATATATATATATATATATATATATATATATATATATATATATATATATATATATATACATTGTTCAAAAGTCAGCCTTTTCGGTCTCAGCAAAGAAATGCCTTGAGGTCTGTACCTCAAAAGTTCCATTCACCTCAACAGCATTTAAAAAAGTGAATTTAAATTTTACTTTTTTTATAACTATTTTTTTTATAATTTCTTGAATTAAATTGAATGAAAAATTCTTTGTATTACACAATATTCAATATTACTTAAATATTATACAATATTCGGTTAAAAAAAAGATTTAT